CCCATCATCAAAGCTAAAGGTGGCATCGTAAACTGCACCTGCACAATAAATTTTGCACCTACCTGAGGCAATGGACAGGCATTGGGAAGAAGACTTTAGGTTCCAGCACTGTCATACAAATTGGAGCCAACAGGCACAGTATTGCTGGTGGATGTTGGTGCTTGCAAGCTGCTTGCGTGTGGCGATGCAATCATTCATGACTAAGCACACATTTTACGGGCTGTGACGAATATGTCATCGATACCGAGACTCTTTCGGATGATGATGATGAGACTTTGTTTTTTTTTAATTCTGGAAGTTACGTACAAGAAGGGTGGGGAGTGGTTCTTAACTGGCCGCCCCGTACCAACACTTGCTGGACACTCCTTTACGGAGGCCCCTGTCGTCAGCCATGGCTCGGGCATGCTCAACCAAGGATTGTTGCGCCTTCAGGTCAGAGCAGCCGAGCAGGGCTGCCTCTGCAGTCCTCCCGGGAAGGGTTAGGTAGACGGGTGAAGTTGGGACTACTTCTACACGCCCACAAAATACCACAGGAATTTTCCTCACAGTGCAGGCACTTTCCCGTGTAAGCGGGGTCGAAGTGTTTCAGGACTGCTGGGCGCAATAAAGTTTTGGTGTAAAGGTGAAGGGGGGTTCACTCCTCCACCTTTGTGAGACCCTCACCGGGTTTGGGATATAGATCTGATGGACGAATTGATAAAACTCAGTGGCTTCTTTAAATGTTCAGCGGGATTGGGTTCGAGGTCCAAATCGTTAGGGGACGAGCATGGTGCCCGGGGAGTGGGCGCACTGACAGTGGCGTCGGCCGACTCATTAGCATGGAGGCCCGTATGAGACCATTCCGTGAGAGGGGGCATCTATAAGTACTGACTGTTTTGAACATTGTGTACGCTAAGCACGGAATGTAGCTCTGTTCTATATCGCGGCCGGCACCCTTTGAGTTAGTGATAATGACCCTCGAGTCGAGATAGGCGGCGGCAAGCGTGATGGCGATCTCCATGTTTTGTTCCCGGAAGGTGAGTGGTGGATTGGTGAATGACCGCGGCCGCGTACCAACTCCTGTGGTCAGGGCCGGAAGCGTGTACATAGAATACTCCGAATTCGTCGAGCCAAGGCTTCCGCCCGTGCGAGGTGTCTGCCACTGTTGTCGTCTCGGGTCATGTTAATCGGAAGAAGACGCAGATGCAGGAAATATTTCGAAATTCTGGGAACCCGTAGGCGAACTGTGACTGATGTGTAGTTGGGTAAGGAGGCGGCAACCCGATGGGGCAGAGAGCTTAGTATATTGGTTTGTCAAGTGCGCCTCTCGTAGTTTCTTGAAGACCTTCTCGGATCAAGTGAAACTTCCGGGAGGCGTCATGGGGGTTCACTACATCGGTATAACACCTTAGGTTCGTTTTTCTCTTTTTTGTTTTGCATAGAAAGCTGTATGTGGCTACACTCTAAAAAAAGAGCGAGTAAAAAAGATGTCTTTTTGTCCCACAACAATAATCGTCATCTATATTGCGTTTCATCCTTGCGCTATCGCCCCGCTCCCGGTACATTCCGGTCACGATCGACATACCCATTATCAGAGTTACATTGCATTCTTGATAGGAAAGTGGCCAGCGCCGAGTTTTCAAGAAAGGAAGCGCACGCAAGCCTCATGACGATTGTTGTTGTGGGACAAAAAAGGCGCCCTTTTTACTCGATAATTTTAGGGGCGAAGCTCCTTATGGCGTGGCTTGTGCATCCCTCGTAGTACGTAACCACCAGTGGCACATACCCGAGATAGGTATAACATTTGACCTCCAAGGTGGTGCCGGTGAGAGACTTCTTCTGTGCGTTGTTTAACAATAAAAAATAGTGCTCAATGTACATGCCAATGGCTGCTAATGGGGAATGAGAGACAGGAGCATTCGGCTTTTAGTCAACGCACACGCTGCAATCCCCATTAGCAGCCATTCGCATGTACTTTGAGCACTATCGGACAAGAAAGGGTTGCTACATTATACTCGCTGGGTGTAACCTCCTTAGTTTTAGAAAGGTTTAGCGAGCGTTGAGCCGCAGGGCCATGAATACAATGAACTAGCATATACCATGAATGAATTCGAGGTGGTTAAAGGGGGGAAGCAGATACGAAGCGCAAGCCGTAAGAAATTAAAAGCTGAATCCTCCTGTCTCTCATTTTACATTAGCAGCCACTGGCATGTACATTGAGCACTATCTGACAGGAAAAGGTTGCTACGTTATACTCGCTGGGCGTAACCTCCTTGGTTTTAGACAGGTTTAGCGAGCATTGGGCCGCAGTGCCATGAATACAGTGAACTAGTATATACCATGAACTCAAGGTGGTTGAAGGTGGGAAGTAGACCCGATGCGCAAGCCGTAAGAAAGTGTGCATGTGCCACCTCCCGTTTAGTTCTTGAAATGTCCGCTGGATGGCGGTGCTTCTATATGGGGAATATATGATAAAAAGATGCGAGATGGTGGGACTTGGAGTGTTGAATAGATGGACGAATGGACACACAGACAGATGCATGGATGGACGCATGAACGAACGCAGGGGCAGATGCATGAACGAACGCAAGGACGGACGCACGAACAGACGCATGGACGGTCACACAGACGGACGCATGGACGGACGAATGCTTCGCCCCAATCTCCATCATTCACATCATTCACTCCGTGGATATTCTGCCATTTTTTTAGAGTGTAGGAGAAATGAAAAACCATTTGGCATACGTGTCACGAGCACTCTCCGTTGGTTGTGCTAGCAGTTACATCGTTCACAGCGTCGTACCGAAGCACGTGCACCATTGGTTGCTCTGTGAGTGACGTCATCCATACCGCTATAGTCGTGGCGCCGAGAACACGCGCATCACTTTCTATCGAGAGCTTCCACATGCCGCAGATCCTATAAAATCCCGTACAGCGTACAAGAGTGCCCACAGTGGAAACGGGAGAGCTCGCATTCGCCAGGCTGGCCGACGCTGTAGTCCTGGCCCAAAAACAGGCTCTGAAGCCAAGTGCCGGCATCCACTTCATACCGATCATCCGGCAGCCGACCAAGCCATGCTATATCGTGAACAGGAATGCAAGTGCCATTGGTGGGAGGGTCCTGCAAACGCTGGCGAACATTTGCTACAACGGCGAGTCGAACAAGCGGCGTTGTGTTCACAACAGGGTAAACGTGGTGATTGCGCAAGCGCGTTCACCGGGGCGAACGCCTGCTTTCGGTGGGAGTTTATCCAGCGGCGGCTTGGCTTCGGCTGCGACGCCAGTGTGTGACACGTCAAATAAGCCCCGAGGTAAACCCAAGCCAAAGCGTGTATTAAAAACACGTCTTTAACAAGCAAGAATATGTAACGAATATTTCTGAATGGGTTCAGTGCAGCGTTCAGGGGAGCGGAGGGTAAAGCACGCACCCGTGAGCAGTATAGTATAGCATCGTGTGGATAGATAAAAGGGTCGGGAGGGAGGACGGAAGTATACAGTATGGCATAGTCGCGTGTACTGCTGTATAGCAAAATGGAGAAAAGTGATGGTGAGAAGCAGGCAGTGATGGGGGGATTGGTTAGGAGAAAATAGGAGGGGGAGGGTAAAGCGCAGCATGACCATGCGTAGTACAGTGTAGCAAGAGGAAAGGGAAATGAGGGTCAGGGGGGAATGGAGGAAGTGTAGCATAGCCGCGTCCAGGACAGTACAGCTAGGGGTAGGAATGAAAACTGAAGCGGTTAAAAAGGACGAAGGGTGAGGTGAAGCATGACATCAACGTATGGTGTATAATATAGCAAGGAGCTAAACAAAAAGGGAAGCGAGGGCAAGCTAGAGAAGTGTATGGGTGAGAAGGAAGTGATAGAAGGAGGGGAGAGGTGCCACTGCATTTTCAAATGACGATTTCCTTTCTCTCCATAGACATCAAGCAGGTTGCAGGCTTAGTACGCTATACCACTTATCCGGCGTCAATTAGAGCGTCACTATAGAGGGTGGACGAATAACTGCTCGCCACTTCCTCTACAGCTTTCGTGTTGATATGATCTTTTTTCTTCCCGTTGCGCTGGTGGCATTTCATTCATTCATTTTTTTTTTGTCGAGAGTAATCCTATATATGCTTTTTGAGAGTTTTTTTGCACGTTTATATTTCCAGCTAGCCTGATGTGCTCATGAATATGGTCTGCAGGTGTTCAACATTATTCTGATGATCATTTACTGCTTTTTCCTCGAATCACCGTAACATTTTCTACTCCTCCCTTTGGAGGCGCAAATGTTGTAGGTTCGTGTGCTCAGATTTAGGTGCACGTTAAAGAACCCCAGGTGGTCGAAATTTCTGGAGCCCTCCACTACGGCGTCTCTCATAATCATATGGGGGTTTTGGGACGTTAAACCCCACAAATCAATCAATACTCCTCCCTTGATTTGAACGCGTGGAAACACGTCAGTTTTGATTTTTCATACGCTATAACTACGCGTATCAACTCTTTAACTCCGTGCGACATATTTCCTTTATTATATTAGGTTCATTACTCACGATGTTGATTGTTTAACTTAACGAAGCACTTCGCGGGTGTATTACTTACAACTTTGTGCATATCCGACAGTACGGATGAGGCGTGAAGCGTCAGTTGTTGAATAACAATGTGGGTCACAGCACAAAGAAATGCGTGGAAATAGAAGCAAAGCAGTTTTCTGCGCAGCATTGCACACGTCTTCCAGTCACTTCACAGAGTCGTTCACGAATGTCACGTCAAGTGGTCTGCGTAATGTAACGATATTTGAAAAAAAAAGAAACAAAAAAAACAGAACAGGCGGTGCATTGCATTCTGACTTGTGTAGGGTGGTCTGTTTCACCACGCTCTTGGGTGACGCAAAACAAACTAGCAGTGCCTGCGCCTCTTGACGACGTCAAGTTGTCCATTCAACGCTGCAGACCGGAAATGATGCCCGACGTCGTCCTGCGGCGCATGACAAAACTTCCGCCTCGATAGCGAATACGATGGTTGATGCACTGAAACTGTGAAACGACCACGACTGTCGCGTTGTGAGAGGTCAGGTGGTGCTCTTGATGATCCACTCCTTGAACCTGGATATCCGAGTGCAGACTCCCGGCAGGTTGGGCTCAGCGCATCCGATACCCCACGATATGATGCCAGCCAAGAACCATCGGCCGTCCTTGGCTTGTATCTGCAGTGGGCCTCCGGAATCCCCCTGCAAGAATGAGCCGAGGAATAGAGTGTAGCTGTGAGCATCAGAAGCTGTATATGATATGCTAGAGGTTTAAAGTACAAAATTATTGGGAGTAAGCTGGCATCGAATTTATTTAGAATCGCAGAAATTGGGATGGCTATATCATTTTTATGCAAATTCGGAAGACCTCGCTAAGAACATGCGCATGACTTCAGAGTGCAGCAGCGTTTTCTTAGAATAATGATCATTGCTTGATTTCTACTGAATGAAGAAATGACATTACTCAGATATGTTCATATACACGGCTGTTTTTTTAGAATTAATAAGTGCTTAGAACTCCACTACGTGCCCTGGTAGCAACTTTATATGTTTATTCTAAATGAAATGCCATGTAAGGCCAAAACAAATATCTAGCCAAAAGGAATGTCACTACGATGCATCCACGTGCCTTTTTCGTAATTTTCATGTTCTTTCGATGGCCATATTGACAGGACACTTATAAACTGTCACAAGAATTTTGACAAGTAACGGGAATGTGAACCCCACGCTATATGAATGTTCACAAGAATATGTAAGTCACTATAGCTCTTCGCAGCAACCCAGAGGCAATGGTGCTACTTTGCTGAGCATGAGGACACTGCACTGGTGCCGGCCGAGTGTGCATGACTTGGCAAATGGAATTGGAGACTATGACATTAAGAGAAGCTAATATTGTCATCTATTCGGATACTCGGAAAGAGCTCTAGCTTATTTTTCTCCTTTTTGGCGTGTGAAAATTTGTGTTTCAGGGTTATCGGACCCTTGAGCGAACACTTGCAAAACGGGAAACTACATCTTGCGCATACATTGTCCAATTGATGTAGGTTTACAATATTTTTGTGTTAGTGATTCATTCAGAAGCAATATTTTGAAATGCTTGCATGTTGGCGATTATGCTCTAGCGTCACTCGCTACGGTCACTGCAGTATACAGTATTGCAGGCCGCTACACACTAGTTTTATGTACTGAATGGCTAAAGTAACAGTCAATAGAAGTAGCTACGGCAAACCATTTTTACTTGATGGTATTTCACAAAGGCAATCACTTTTACATACAAGCTGAAGCTCTGCCGACTTTATGTGTGCTGTTGAATAAAGAAAAGCAGCAAGCCTTCATAAGAAAATGTCACACCCGTGCAAAGAAACATTCACGCTCGTGCAGAAAAAAAAAGCCTTTGCCAGAGGGGTCAGTGCGCATCCATAGTAAGAGCAATATATTTAGCATAAGTTCATAGCTATAAAATAAATTAGTGGTTAGAACCATAAATCACAACAATAGTGGGGCTCGTCATGTGATCTGCGTCGGCGCGAATTTGTGCACGATACGAATGCTAATGTACACGTTGACATCGTTCACGGTCATTCTTTTGTAGACAGCTGTAATAAAAAAAAGTACAGTCCCACTGGCGAAGACTTGCAACACAGGAGCGGGAAGCCTCACGTGCTACAGTATAATGCTCGACTACCTTATTTCCACAACTAAGCAGCGCCCTCACTTCGGCATGTTCCCAGATAGAAAAAATGTCAATTGTTGCTAAAATGAAGGGAAGTTTAAGCCGTACGCAATCATTAATCACGTGGGGTGATGCCTTTCCATGCTGCAAGCCATACTGAGCGCGACTGTATAAATAAAACTTGAAATACATTTAGGTGACGATTGCTCTGGTTTACGGTTGATTTTGGGAGTGTTTCGTAAGTGTTCAGAACCTGTTTTTTTTTCTTTATTTTGATCTGGAAAGCTGAAGCTGTAGATTGGTCACACACCAGTGCAGATCTATAGGCCTTTTATGAGATGGACACCATACTGAATTAAATCCTAGAAAATGTGCAAGCCATTTTGTACACAGTGTAGAAGGCTTTGACACAATCGGGAGGCTTCCTTGCTTGCCAAATTTGTAAGAATACTGCGTCGTGCTATGCTCTGTAACGGCTACTGTCACAGAAGATCTTGTCGTTCATCTATGATTTATATATTTCTGATGAATTTCACCACCTTCAATGAATTGTTGTAGTTCATCAAGCTTCCAACGCTTGCACAGATCCACGCGTTTGCTTTTGGTTACCGGACCAAATGAAATATTTAATTGCAGTCATACAGATGACTTAGTGCGTGAGCATAGGTGAGCGTACCGGGGGGGGTGGGGTGGGGGAGGCAGAGGGAGAGAGGGGGGGTGCAAAGCCAGCCACCATACATTGACATGACAGTAGGGCAGCGCTGCGACAAACCTCCGCCCCTCTTCCCCCCTTGAAGGGTTACCCTGAACACGTTTATGCGCGTAAGATATTTGATTTGATTTCATGCGAACCACTAAAAGAATAATTGAGGTTATTTAACGGATTCGTTCATGCCACTGCTTCACGCGAACGCCTATTATATGTAAAAGAGAATGCGAAACTACTTGAGATTGCTTCAAAATTTCATGTAGGTTTTCTTTCTCTCACTTTCTGAGTACTTATTCGAAACATAAAATCACTAGCTATATAGAACGAGCAAATCCCTGCTGACACCTGTGATAAGCTTTAATGAAAGAGTAAAATAACTAAAACTTTAGATCAATGTCAAGAGAAATTATTATTGTATTATGACAACAAATTTGGAGGTCAGCACCATGTTCAATGAACTGAAAATTATTCATTTTTACATCTCTACACAAAATTAGAGACCAAAAATATATGTTTTCTAAAGTCGCATTAGCAAATCACTTCTCAAAATAAAAGTAAAAAAGGCTACAACAATACGTCAGAACAGAAAAAGCGGCGTTTAGAAAAGAAATTGGTAAAAACTACCATTCAAAACATGCCATGATTAAAAAAAATGGACATGAGCGAAAACATTTCTGCTTTTGTTTAATGAGCTATAGCCGAGCTTCCGACTCCAAGCTCTGTGTATATCTCACAAAACGTCCCATTCTCGAATACCTGGTGATTTTACTAAAACAAGACAATTAAAAGAAACCGCAGATATTGTGCGAAAAGTGCTTCAAGGAGTACTGACATGATTTTTAAAATCTTTGGATTGTTCCTCGAAACAAAAGCACTGGTGTCGGGAAACCTAAAACGAGTAATATGGTGCTTGAAAACTCATTGCATATATTTTATTTTCGCCGCCTGATAAATACACTTTCTGTTCCGTTATTAAGGGAATAGCTTCTCTGCAACGTGTTAAAGCAGTGTGACGTCATGGGAAGATAGCAACTGGCAACGTACTAGCAGCAAATCGGTCATCTGTAAACAACGAGGGCATTGTCATCCAGTTCCTCTGACAGCGATTTTTGAGATTGTGACTGCGCACAGGACGCAGAGATCGTTAATTCAGAGACGGTCTTCATTCATCCGGATAATTTATATTACATTGGAGCTGGTTCCAGATGCTCAGTTGTGAAAACTTTAAAATAAAATTAAAATATTTCATATGCGTTCTCTGACTCCGGTGTGCGGAGAGCGTTGACACTGTGTACCAAGCAAACGAAAAATGTCCGTATCGCAGTGTCTTCAAATTATGTCTATACTCTTTTAAGGTGGTAGGCCACTCAAAAACAAAAATTTTTTAAGGGCAGGTAGCGTTGAAATAACTTTTTCCTCAATACCAGCATGTCTTAATTGATTTACCGAGCTATTTACAGTGCAAAATATTGAATATTTATATATTGGGAGGTGATCTTCGTCAAACATTGCATTAAAATTGCTAGCCATGCCAGCTGTGATAAGTGACTAATGGGTGGCTTTATTCAGTGAAGCTTTGAGATTTGTGTAACTGATGACTGGAGCTATGCACTCAACTAGAATAAATATTATGCAGTGAATATCAAGGAAGTAATGCTACAAAACAAAAAAAAACAGGGAAAAAGAGCCAATTTAGACTGAACCTGTTGGAGAATTCAGCTGTGAACTGAAAAATTTTCGATGGATTTCTTTTATTCTTGTTCACTGCACAGATATGTATGTTGTAAATCATTGTGCAAAATTTCAGTTCAAAGTATACACTGAGAAATACGTTATGAAAGTTTGCGTCGCAACATTTGGAGCAAATTGTTATTTTCAGAAAAACATAAACAAAGATTTCCGAGCTTGTAAAAAGGGTCACAATTTTCGCATGTAGGCCTAAAATGCACCAGATTCGTAGCTGGGTCCTTCTGCGGAAGCATTATTGTCTCTTTTTGTTCGGGTGGCTGCTCGTCTTTTCTTCCTAGCCTGTTTTGTCCTATCCGCTGACTTGCGTTTAGCATTCTGCATGCGCAGGTGATCCCTGGCGATGCAACTTTCGTCGTGTGGTACCCTGGTTCTATGCCAGCTTGCCTCAGGATATCAAGGGTGCTTACACTGTCATTATTAAAGTGTGCCACGGCATCATGCAAGGCGAACATTACTGTAGGCAAGCTTACGTAGACCTCTTTGGGTGCCCGCTGCTATATTAGACCAATGAAACACTCATTAGCATTTTGAGTCTTTCCATGAATGCACTTCATTAGAAGTTCATCAGGGCACAGATCACTGTAGACAGTGTTGACTGTCAAATGATGACTTCCAAATGATAAGTTCAACTTTGTTGAACACATCATTTGGAAGTCCTCCTTTGTGTACATAAATTTCCCTTGGCTGAGTGCTTCGACCCTTTGGTATCTGCACCAGCTTTTCGGTCATAATATGCTGGTCATAATAAGGTCCAGGTGGCCTAAGGATACAGCCCTAGTAGCGTTGACACGTGGAAAAAATGCAGAACGAAGCCTGACGTAGCCTGACCAAGGCAAACAACAAAAATTCCGATGAGCATTGTGCGTCCCCCTTGTGGCTGTTGTTAGAGATGAACGAAGACTTTTAAACACAAAGTTGTATTTAATGACATCATTTTATATAACAGTCACAATAAAATTCATAAAGTATTTTGAATAGATAGACGAAACAACACTTGCTTTTGAAAGCGATTTTTCGAAACTGAAACCACAGTTGGAAATGTGGTTTCGGTTTTGCTATAAGAGCATAGGGTATAGAAAACTTGCTGTAACTCGCAAAGTAATGACGCTGGGAAGATAATGTTTGTTGCAACATATATGTGAATATTTGGGCGTGCGAGAAAAACAAAACCCTAAAAATTTATTTCGCGACAAAAAAAGACTTTTGAAGGTGGCCTACCACCTTAAGGCACATGTCACAGCACAGGCCATCTCTTAATATTCGAAAATATGTGAGACAAGATTTAAATGCTTTTCTATAGTTCATGCAGGATATACACGGAATTCAGAGGTGTTATACAGCAAATAGGTACTCAGAAATTGTTATAAAGAAAACCAAAGTGAAAGGACGAAAATTCGCGCTACAAAGCTGGCTAACTTACGATACGCCGGCTATGTTTCAGAACGACGAAGCATGCGATTCTAAAAATGTGTGTTTTTATGTCGAAACAAAATACACACAAGCTATGTCAGCATGCAAATGATTGATTGAATAATAGCTGGTGTATAACGTCCCAAAACCACCATTTGAGTATGAGAGACGCCGTTGTGCAAAACTTCGCAAATTTTGACCACCTTGTGTTTACCGTGTGCAAAATTTTAACCCACGGGCCTACAGCGTTTTCGCCCGCATCAAAAATGCAGCAGCCACAGCCGAGGTTTGATCCCGCGACCTACGGGTCAGCAGCCGAGTACCTTAGCCACTAAACCATCACGGCGGGGCACACATGCAAATGACGGATGATTCAGATTAACAAAGATGCAATAGACCACATGCAACAACAAGCTTCTTGTATAGGCTTCCGAATAGGCAATGATGCTACAAAAGAAACTTGATGAAGAATTGTTCTGGTAAACCCTCAAAGGTAATTGAAGGCAAGAGAAAAACGTTAGCCTAAAAAATAAAACATTGTGGCCCTTTCCCCAGTTCTCCTTGTGGGGGTGTATTGGTACCATTTGCATTAAAAAGACAGCTAGGTTTGTATAAGGCGTTTGGGGTTTCAGAATTTAATTGTCTTACTTAACAACCAGTGTCTCGGACATAGGAGCGAATAATCCAGAAATTTCTTTTGAAGCAACTACCCTGAAACGAGGAGTAGGTATGCAAAAAAAAAAACATGTAAGCGAGTCAATGGTACGTCAAAATGACAATGTTAATACGGTCATTCAATATGTGCAGCACTTGTCCTGGCTTTTCGTAGGTGAACGAACGATATATACATGAATATTTCACAACCGTTCACATAGCCCTAAATACACGGCATGATAATTAAACGAATTGCTTAAGTTGATTCACTCGGTTCTTAAGTCCAAATAATCAGCTCTTTGCAGACTGTCTAGAAAACTCAACAGTTGATTAGTCTGTTGGGTTGGTGACGGGTTGTAAGTGTGCGGCTAACAAAAACAAAAGATTCTAGTGTGTCTCATGATGACCACTTACCTGGCATGAGTCCCTGCCGCCTTCTTCAAAGCCAGCACACATGAAGATGTTGGGTATGTATTCGTGCCTTCCAGCTGCAAGGAACATGTTCTTGCACTTTTCGTTGCTGACGATCGGCACCTTGACTTCCTGCAGCACAGACGGGAGCACGCCACCTGCAGAAAGAATGGCGTAGCTTAGTACGAACATTCGAAATGGGGCAACGACCCGACAAGAAATAATACAGGTTATGAATATTATTAAAGCGCGCGTCTCTTTAAACGAGATAAAAAACACCTATAACAGCGTCTGATATTAACATTCAAGATGCGAAGCAGATCTTTAACTAGCCTGTGTAGCGCTGTCCCTACGTACGAGCGCACCGTGCGCCACAGGTGTTGGCGCGGTGCCAAGTAGGTCCCAACGCTCCTGCGCATTTACGTCATGCTTCCTCGAAGCGCGCTTCGATGTCAGTCTCTCCGCCTGCCGCACTCTCACCGCGACACCCGCAGCGGCCGCCTCGTTCGTTCGCCTGCAACACTTGCTTTGACTGCTGCTCGTTACACCGCCGACTCGTCGGTGCACGGACGATGTCCCTGACGCACGCCTAATGTACGCGCTGAAACATGTCTGTACGTGTCACCTACAAGCCAGACGCCAGCCATCTCTTCAAACGAACCATCCGGCGCTGACCGCAGCACACGCGTTAGCGCCGTTCAACCCGCAACGCCACCAGTGCGCAACGCTGCTGCCTCGCATACCGTCAGGGTTCCCCCTGGGAAGATGGTCCAATTTTATTTGTTCATAAAACTGCGTTTGTTACATCCACGTCTGATATAGAAACTGAGTAACCTAATGTCTTATTTTGCTTTTACATGAAATAAGACGCTTGCCATGTAATATAATGTCGACTAGTCCTTTCCCCCTGCAAAGCTATCATGAAGGAGAGCATTACAAAAGCCGATGAAGCTTATCTTAATTCGACATAATGCTGCCAATAGGCATATCTTAAAACATACTCAGAGAGGATGTATAGACCAAAGCAACCGCGAAGGGCACTTAGCGCATCAAATCTGAAACCAAAGTAGAAGTGAGGCTGAATGGTATTCTCATCGTAAATAATAAATAAAAATAGTTCTCCGTTGATAAGCAGTTTTAGTTACAACGGCTGCGTGTTAAAGGGTAACAGTTACCAGCATATGGAACAGCTTATTTGTACTTTTTTTTTAATTTCCATCAAAACTTCATTCGGTAGCGGCTGGCTTCTTGGTTCGAAATACATTTATGACAATCTAAAAGGGGACGTGCATTCACACCTGTACTGCAAGATTTTTTTGTTTTGTTTTTTTGGAAGGCTTTGCGTTTCTGGTTATGTTGGTTCAGCCCGCGAAGTGGTCTACAATATTTCATGTTATTGCACTAGACAGTGAAAAATCATTGCCATTGTTGTAGCAGTAACGTGTACAAATATGCATTATAGTGTCGTCACATTCTATTTACTAAACAAAGTGGAGTTCTGTGCTTGGTACTCGCATTCCCCCACATAATTCGCGAACACTGAAATCTTGAATGCCTTAAGCCAGAATGAAAATGACTGGTCTCTTTAATCATAATATCGTCAAATTACCTTGTATACCTTGATAATGATCAAAACAGACCGATTTATAAGTTTCACCCAGTCCAACAAGCAAACGTGTGCCCGTCAAAAGTCATGACGATTGCAAAGTGTATCCAAGCTAACAACCTGTACTTTGCCTAGCTGAAAAGTCGGCAATGGCCCATGTTCACAATCACATGAAATTCAAAAGAAGTGAAATGAGCAATGTGCATAAAATATATTCTTTGTAACCTATTGTATCCCAGCAACCCAACATGTGCAACGCATACCGGCGAAGTCAGTTCCTTGCCATAGAATCGACTTGAAATGGTGACATTACTCCAGTATGGAGTAATGCCGACCTTTCAAATAGTTTTTAACGCATGTCGATGGCGAGCTTCAATGCAATTCTGTTAATATGTCCTGTGATGCTCTATACACTTGCGTGGACGTGCTGGCACATTACTCCAGCATGAAGTAAAGTGCCAGCCTTTCAAATATACTCTAAGGCACTCTGGTGGCACACAGAGGCTTAACATGGATTGATTGATAGCTTGATCTAGATGTTAAATTTGGCTGGCACACAGTGCCTTGAACGTACATGTTATAGCAAGTGAGTGAAGAAGGAGATAGAGATTACAAATGCAGAGAAAACAAGTATAGGAACTAAAACATATGGTTTGCTATCCTACACAAGGGGGAGAGAGAAAAGAAAGCGGTACGGTTGATAAAGTGGCTGATATACTTGCTAGCAGCTCCATGTAAGATGAAGACCAACACCATCGTTATCTGTAATAACGAGGAGGCATTTCCAGTTTATAGCACTTATGTTGAAACAAGTTGACGTTGTAGAGCGAGACTGGCGATTAATGCTGCCAATGTTCCCACTTTGTACACAGGCACTTGGCACAACGAATATTGTTATAGTTTTACGTGTTCAGTCCACGCTTATAGCGCACAAACGAATGGCGCAGTCAATTCGTCTCCAAGTAGACAAGAACAACTAAAACGAAACTAAAGGGGAAGAAGTAATTGCTTAAGACAGATAAATTGAGCTTTGAAGACGTCATTCTAACGAATATGACCATCATAAAAATCAAGGTCACTGTTTCATTTTAAATTTCGCTTGGAAACCTTCGCGTGTTGCGGATTTTAATGTGTCCTTTCGTATTTTGGCCACAATGACTAAACGGAAAGTGTTTGGGTCCCTCAGAAAACATTATTATTGATTTGCACGAGCGGACAGTGGACGCCTTAGAGATCAATGGCGTCAGAGCAGTTTGGCAACTTCAAGATAACGTCGCCACACGCTTTTAATTTAGCGCGTTTTCTCGCTTACAAAACGTCTCCTCGCAGCAAGCGTGATGATTATGGAAATATGAAATAATCATTAACTAATACGAGAAAAATTGCATTTTTCTTCAGTGTTCTTTCTATAATGGTAGTGGGGTTTTCGTCATAGGTATATGCCCTTATACTTTGCAGAAATGGATGTTGAACCTACGGTTGAGTCACTGTATATACGGCTCACGTGAAGACTGCTTCGGCGTCTCTAAAGTTATATGCGTATAACGTTGTATAACGTTGTAAGTGCGTATACTGTTGTGTAAAGTTGTATGCGTATAACGACCAAATTAGACTGTAAAGTCCTAGCTGCGAGCGTCTAGTGGAGATATGCATACTTTCATATCAACGACCGGAGGCCGCTCACACTTCCAGCTAAGCTTGAATTTGAGCGTGGTGCTTGAATACGAGCCGCGTGGTTGATATTGAAGGGTTTCCTAGCTCCGTCTTCGCAGGCTTACGCCTGACGGCGCTGGACGGCCTCTGTGACACTCTTGAGAAGTGAAAGGACGCCATATAAAGCTGTAGTCTCAAGACTATTCTTGGTGATGGTGGTGAAGTAAATATTGTATTCTGAAATGCACTGAGAGATCCTGTGCGCCTGAGTGACAGTCCCTAAATCAGTACATGATTGGAGATGACCGCTGCCTGGGCGTTACGCACACGGGCAGCGGTCAAGTGATACGCGCACGACATACAATGATATCATCAAACACTAATACCTGGGAAGAAGAGAGCTCACACCTTTTCACTTTGTACTAAACAGAGTGCAAACGGTGGCACTTAAACATCGATTTATTACCTATCAACACAGAAAATTATCGCATTGATTTATTTATGTGATTTGTATATACACGAAGACAAAGATAAAGAAATGAAGAGAGCAAGCGGGCAACTGCCACCTTGGTGGACACAATGCCGACTCAATCTGTTGGGAAGAGAGCGAAAAAAGCAAAAATGGGAGAGTAGAAAATGAAAGGAAGGAGGGAAGAACAGATGAGTCTTAGACATAAAAGACATGAATGCAATTTGCATGACATGCAAGAAAGAAGTATGCGCGCTTGAGCGAATGCTCTGGAGGTGTGGATCGCTTGACCCTGGCATTTCCCGCGAACGGTTTGTCGAGATGATCAAGCCAAACGACCGCATCCCCCCGATTCCTGGCTGTCCAGTACGCCCATGACAGGGCTAAAAGGCCTTACCTCCTGGTCCCAATGTATGGGATTATCCAGGGAGGGGCAACACCTTTTTCAAGACGTGAACTTTTTTTCTATCCTTCTTGCAAGCTGGCTGCCGTGAAGAACAGGACACCGATATACGACGCTTAACAATGGAAGCCGCAGGCACGTGGCGGCAACGTCGCTGCGCCAAAGGGCCCATCAACTTCCTCCCCGAGGCTTGGTGAATGCGACGCCGACACGAAGGACCTGGGTAACCGCTGAGTGAAAAAAAAAATTGAAAGTGGGGAGGCCTGAATGAGCGCCCGTCCCCACAAAGTCAGTGATGGCGGCACTTATGAGGACGAACACTACAATCTCGCAGATCGTCAACTTCGGGCGAATCCTAAGGGGGTTGATGAGGGGCGATCTTGAGCGCCTAGGAAGTCGGTAGAAAGCGCCGATGCCGAGTGTTTTGCGTCTCTGTGGTGTACCGAGCGGCCTGAACCAAGGAGGCGGCTAACAATCGTAAACTACGCGCTTTCCATCTTCAAAGAACGTGCCGGCTCCGAGGGGCAACTGGTGCGCACGTTTGACAACGCACAGTGCTTTAAGGGCAAACCAAAGTGATGTTTACCACTGTTTCTTTCTCGAAAGTACGTTGCACATCAAGGAAGCCGCCGGGGTGTCGCGAACCACACGACCAGTGTCATATACGGGAACGGCTCTTTTCCTTAATTTCTATTCCTGTTTCTCGTCCCGGAAAGGATCAGATAGCCTGCCCGCGTCTGAAAGAGATCCTGAAGGCTACACATATCGACGTCGCAGAGTCAGAAAGAATTACATGCGCGCACTTTCTGCACACTAGGCCGTATTCGTACGGCGAGGTCAAGGTTTCGGGACGGTAGCATCCAGTGTTGCCGCTGGTGGCTACTTTTCGCCAAATTGGCGAATTTGTGAGGTGCGTGGCGACCAAAAATTACGAATGGTGACACGGCGAACTTTTGGCGATTTTCGGTTTAGGTCTCAGCTGAGTTATGTATTCAATACTCAGTGTCTTCAAAACGAATGAATGACA